AATCACGTGCCGGGTATTACTTTGTATCCCTAATTTATCTTGATTTGTTTGAGAGGACTTTGTCCTGATATGTGCATCAATTCTTATCTATATCTTGTTATGCTCACAAAAAATAAAACCTTGAAGAGCCTCAGACCAATCCTTCAAAGCAGGTTTGTCCGCTCTTGCCAGCATATGTGTAGCTCTTGGAGGTGTTGCACCCTGAGAATCCCCCCTATTTGGCCCTCCGGGGTGCATGTGGATACACACAGTGTGCAAGCCCACCCCTTGTGTTGCACACCAGTGGCAGCTTGCGCCAGCCACCTAATCCCCAACCCTAAGAGAAAAAACTGCTAAATAGTGATCTCATTGTGGTGAGATGTATAGTGGAATCTGCAACACAACACCAAGGGATCAACATCCAATGAACTGTGGAGAAGGTTTGATGTTGCATCTGGGACACTCTCAGATTGCAACAAAAACATGGTTTCCACCATCTTATGATCAGGACCCTGGATAGCTCTAAAAAGGTCAATTGTGTCAAAACTTGATTTTTTGCCTGACTCTAAGATGATTAAATCCAGGGTTCACAACAAAATATTGATCCAGCAATTGATGAAATTGTTCAAGCAAAAAAAAACTCCTGAGATATTATAGATAGGAGTCCTTATGGGGTACAGGAGTATGCTGTGGTAAATCATCCTACCTAAGCAATGAGTAGAGTGTTGATTGATGATCATACACAGTTTATTTGCTTAAAGATAGAGAAAACCTACTTTGAAAGTCTTGTATTACTATAGCTATGTTTGCAGATTTAGGCATAAGTTTGTTGTGAGGAGTTCTAATAAAATGCTCAAGAAACTTGAAGAGAATCACAATTAGACTAGAATTTAATTATATTGATTTGCTCCTCCTCATTACATGCTACATCTGTTGTTATGCCATAAGGGTCAAGCTGACATTGAGCCATCATGAGATGGTAATAGTATCTGATCCTGCACATATCATAAAATCAACGGATGATGTCACACATTTATTGATACCACCATTTCTCAAGATGGCCCTCACAAACATCTTGAAATCAATCAGACTCAAGATAATCCATAATGACCTTTGATAGAGATGACAATGTTGAAGAACTCCAGTTGACAAACTCCAATTCCACTTCTTTCAAGGCATTTGGATACTTGTGAATCCTTTGAATGATTCTGATCAGAACAATTTGGGTCTCAAAGATATGCAGAGAGTCAGACACTCCACAATATCCTTGGTAGAATTTATTATCTATATATTTCTATAATTCAGTTCCAATAGCTCTTATCCTTGAATACAAGAAAATGACCCACAAGTCACCCAGAATGCCAGTATGTCTTTTGTATATATTTTTGACCAAGCTTCTTTCACTATAACCCCCCCCAATCATATCTATTCTGAATAGCTAGAAAACTTTCAAGCTCTCTGGTATGATTACAAATGTAAGACGGCCTCAAGACAAAGGAGCTGCTACGTTTTTGAGACAATTCACTCATCAAGGTTAAAATGCCCTGATCTGAGCTGTGATTTTTGATCCAGAGACTGCTTGTGACACTTCCAACTCTCTCTTCCATTTTGATATAGGGTCTGTTTTGTGGGGAAAATGAAGTGCATGCAACTTGCCAAGGATCTGCTGCATTATCTTGAGAGGAATATCATAATGATCTGGAAACGTTCTCAAAATCTGGAAGAGTACAATCCTATGCTTTACATCCATGTCAGTTATGTCAGACAGTTGTTCAACCTGATTATCACACCACTGATCTTGATCTGCCAGAAGAATCTTATTCATGTTTACAATCAATTCTGGACAACAGCCCTCATCATCAAAGAAATCTCTATCTGCATGATACATTGTATTATATGATGTGTTAGCTGGACTCGGAGGTGTGATCATTCCTTGGTCTAATAGTTTGGAACACTCACTCTTACTTCAGAAAAGGCTGGCCTTCTTTGATTTGTTGATTTCCAAGTATACAGTAAAGATTCAATCTTGTGACTTTTGATGAAGAGAAATTTTAAAGACACCATGATATCTTTGCTCACCTTGTGTTGATGAGCTTGGCTTCACTCTTGACCATGCTTCCTTGGTTTCCAAGGCAATCTTGTTTCAACAGCCATAGTAGCTTAGAAGAGGTGTCTAGACACCCATGAATGTTCATACTATCCATCCCAAAGAACTTCCTTTACTGAGATATTCTGATGTGACAGTCACAAATCAAACATTGAAATTGGCCTCAGATGCCCCCAGAGCTTATTACCTTGGCACTTCAGACCACAGTGAGCCAAGCGGTGTGGCTCAGACCTATAATTCTAATGGATAGGCCTCACTCATGAACAGACTTTTCTTATCCCTTAGCACTTTGCCCTTTGTCCGCAAAACAAAAATCTTATAAACGTTTACTTTCAGCTGCATTACCATTCCACCCCCAAAGTAGGGATGAAACACATAAATCAGGTCATGAGAATAAAAAGGACTGTGAATAAAACTTTGGGTTTTTCTTCCCCTGATTTTTGCATAGATGATGATGGCAATAAGGACGACGATATTAAGAATGAGTAGAATTGGACAAACGCATAAGGGGAGAAGAGGGGGGGTAAATGTGAAAACGAAAGGAAGATAAAGAGAGAGAGTGAACAAAGCAGAAGAACCTTTTTTTGTAAAAAAAGATCATTCTGAAAGTGTTCCCCATCTCTTCTATTTTTGAATCTACGATATTGTTATGAATACCTATATCTAACTTTTACTATAATTGCCCTGTTTATTTGAAACAACATATCAACTACTCGAACTTTGTTTTGTTGAAGAGGAAGAGTGAATTTTAAATCCGATTTCTCAATCTTAAATATCACCCTTCCCCAGATTCTTGAAGTCATCTTGATTTTCTCTTCGGCCGACTTCTTCCACCACTAGCAACGAACCCAATAATTTTTACTGGAATCACAAGTGCATTCTTTAAATTATCAATTCGTGGATTTTTGTTTTCTTCTTCGTCTCTTCCTCTTTTCAATCCACCGAACTTCAACTCTTGACAATATCGATAAACATTCTTCGTCAATGGATGTTCAAACACCTCTGTCCACATTCCACGTATATCTTTTTCATTTTCGAGTCCAATGGGAACAGGTAAGTTGCTTTGTTGTAGAAACGTTCTGATCGCTGCTGGATTCACTGCTTTGCATTTACTTCGATCTGTCATTCAAAGTAAAACAGAAACCTCAACAAATCATCAATCGAACAAAATATGAACAATTGATGTTCGAACCAGGCGTTGATGTCCAACCGAGACTAGCGTTGGGAACGTCGATAGTTTTGGTAATCCGATTCAATGTGAGTAGGCGGGTGCGTGTGCAAAGGGGAAGTCAGAATAGATCACGAGTCTCTCAGGTAGTCAACTGACCTGCTCAACACCGCCGTACCTATATCACGTGCGTATTGTTTTCACAATTGTGATCAAAAGATTAAGCACGGGAGAAAGGGCAAGATCAACTATTAAAAATTTGGCCATAATAAAAAAGGAATCCATTGTTCAAATCACACATATACAAATTCTTCAATCTAACATTGAAAGATTAGTCTAAATAAACAACCAAAGGGAAAACGAGATATGAAACATGCTAGTTCGTAGATCACTTGCCAATCTGTTCACTTTTTTCACCACTTGGATCCCGTCGCTTCATCAAATCCAGATCGGATTGGATTTGTTGTTGACCTACTTTCTTCACGCCAAGCAATAAGTCATTGAGAATTGGTGGCACTAAGAGATTATTTGGATTTGATGGATTGCGCGGTTTGCCGCTCTTTGTTCTCCTCTCCTCTCGTACCGGATTGGTTACCGATGGGATTGGACGTGAGGAGGGGCCTGTCGGAAGCGAGCGGGTTGGATGGGGATCGCTGCGTTTATGATTGTCATTATGGGTGGGGGAGATGATAGGTTGGGTTGGAGGATCAGAAGGCAAGAGTTGTGGAAAAGTTGAAGAAGATGGATGAGGTGATAAGCCAGAGGTACTAGAAGGCAAAGGTACTGTTGGAAGGGACGTAGCATCAGCATCATCAAAAGATAGGAAGGCAGAATGTGATGGGCGAGGTGGTAGTGGTACAGGTCTGGCCAATTCGAAGCATTGCGGTGAGTAAGGAGGATAAATGGGAGAGAAATGATTCATGGAAGATGAAAGGGGGACATTATGATCAGGAAGAAGCATTGGCGATGAGATACGGGGTGACATGTGTAAAATTGAGTCGTCTGATTGTCTTGCCCAATCCCGCAGTCCACGAGCTGGATTAGCGTATTGTTCCAGCTGATCGGCAACCGACCAAGGACCGCTTGAGGTTGAGGAGTGCGAATGGGAAGCCAAAGCATTGTCGACCAGGGGGCTACCAGTTGTTGGGAAGGGTTGCATAGTCAGGTTGCCATTCAAAGTGACTTGAAGAGCCGCAGGGCGTGTTTCACGTAAGCTGTACGACGGGGTTGTTGAACTGGTGGAGGCAATCAATTCTTGTGATTTATCGGGAGCCGGAGAAGGCCCATGGCGCAGTGAATGATTGGATGCCGTTCGAACAGTATCTCCATCATACGTTGAATGAGGAGCAATTATCGGTATGCTTGCGGAGATCTTCGATGCATGCGACGTCAATTCTCCTTTGGGAAGTGAAGCAGGGAGCTTCGATGAGGCTGAGAGTTGCTTTTGCCATGTATGTCCTATAAGATAAAATCAACACACAAAAGCGAAAAACAGCAAAGAACTTGATGCTGTTGAGGTTATACGTAAATCAACTCACTAAAATGACAATCTTGGCGCAGGCATTGCATATCGTCTATGATAGAAGAAATACGTCAGTGGATTAGATAACCTTACAAAATCGAGTTGACTATTTCGCCTACAACGACAAAGTTGGGTATTCCAACAAGTATTCGATTGATTGGTGGTAGTTGTTGGCGCGGGCGTTGGAACTCGAGAATGGATTTTCGGACAAGCTGACATCAAGAAACAACAGGGGTCAAGAGAAAGTTTCCACAGTTACCGTACTATATATTACTAGCAACTCACAAGCATCTCGACAATCCGAAGCACGATAGCATGCAGTCAGTGCACCATGCTGAGCGGCAGAACTACAATGTCCTACAATGCAATTACGATCTTCACACTGTGGCCCAGCCTAATGGAGACTCAGTGAACTTTCTCCAGGCTCTTTCTCCACCACATCAATCTATTTATGTTAAGAAACGCTACTGACTTTGCAAACCGGATGGTCTGATGGACCTTTCGAAAGCAAAGGTATCGTAGATGAATGGTCCACCAATTGAGCTGAGCGTTCATCTCGCAAGTACGAACCTGACTCGGGCGCAGTGGCATCGATACTGACAATCTCCTCCGGATTATCGGCAAGGAAGATTTCCACGCTGCTCTCTGCGCTACTTACAGCGGATTCAGAGGGAGACAGAGTATGTGCTTCTACTCCATATGATCTATCGAGATTCCAATGGGTCGAGGAGCGCATCTTGATAGCTTGTGAAGCTGAAGGTCGAGTTGACAGATTTGACGAGGTATTTGTAATCTGAAAATTTGTTGAACTTTGCCGCAAAGTATCAAAGTCGGATTCACTTTTCTGTGCTTGCGACACTTGATGGACTGTGAGTGACAGTGATGAGCGCAGAGAGTCTTCCGAGACAGATTTGAGGACAGAAGTGGAGTGAATAGTCTCGGATTGCTTCACACTTGTATCGAGCTGCTCTTGTAAACTTGTAAGGAAGTCGTCGACATGCCTCGGGGCGGGGACATTGACAAGACACTCAGGCGGTTGAGTGAAATTGGCCGAAGATCCGCTGATGGGACTCTCAAAGCCAGTTTGAGATAGGTTGAATGTGTCCAAGGCGGATGGACGATCATGCCTTTTAGCGCAGTCAAAGACTGGACTCTTGGGTAGGTTTTGCGTAAATGAATGACTTGAGCTTGAGGTGGGCGCAGACGCGCCATTCTGCCCCAAGGAGCCTTGGCTTGATGTCGACCGCTGGACTTGGCGGCTTGCTATATCCGCCCGCTTCTGCGCTATATCAACCTGTAATTGAGCTTCTCGCTCCTTCAGGGTCAGGTGTGTTTGCCCGTTTTGTGATACCTTCGTGGGCAAAGGGGAGATATGAGTTACTTTGGTTGGTTGGGTAATGACGGAAGGTGTAGGCCCCAATTGAGGGTTTTGCACTACAGTGGGGTTGCACGATCTCATAGGTTGAGGGGTGGGAAAATTGAATATTGAAACACCATTTTGATGAGGAAGGGCACCGTCCAAAGCAGAAGGAACGGGGAGAGGGGGTAAAAAGCAAGCAGCTGGGTTGAGATTGGTCTTATGTTGATAATTAGAACTCGACGACAAAAAATCGGGCTTCGGAGGCAAAGGATGCTTGATTGTTGGTGGTGGAAGTTTTGGTCGACTAGGATTTTCTTCTGGCGGCGGCGTACTAATCTGTCCATCTTCGAGCTCCTCAGTTGCACCAGCCTGAGATTGACTGGCTGGAGAGGCACCTTGACGACTTTTAAGATGAGCCTTGAGGTTTTGTTCCAGGCTTAACGATGGCAGAGGTGGCGGCTCGGCCGAAGGCACCTGGAGGCCGAGGACTTGGGGAGGCACAGGGGCAACCGGTGCGACGGGTGCCACAGGTGCAACGGGTGCCACAGGTGCAACGGGTGCCACAGCTGGTCGGGGTTTACGGCTGGCGATGAGTTTGGCGCGGAGTTCTTTCTCAATCGCACAGGCTGACGGCTTCGACGATTCTGAAGCCATATTCGGTTGCAAAACCTGACTTGTCGATGTTGTTTCTTGGTTCGTAGCATTTCGCCCACTGTCGCACAATGTTGTGAAAGTATGAGTCTGCGGTCCCAAAAGTGTACTTGAATGCAATTCTGCTAGAGTGCCAGTGAGAGCCGAGTCACTGTGGTCCTCAGTGATCATCACCGGAGGTGTGAGTACCTTGGATGGCGACGCGAGTGGCGCTTCTGCTGGGATGTTAAGTTCAATCGCAGAGGAAGGAGAGCCGCGAGGAGTTCCAACATCACTCAAATCTCTCGGAGGTTCGGGGTCCATGAACTTATTCTCAGTATGTGCATCATCACAATTCTGAGCGCTTACGTTACCTTTGGGTAGGTCAGGAGTGGCCTGCCAACTGATATGAGGAGATACTTCCGGGGGAGTTCCAGGGAGGTCGGCATCAGAAATATCGTATAACATAACATTGGTTGGAGATGGCAACAAGGACCGATGAGGCGAAGTGGGGTTTGACGGTCCCTTTCCTGGAGGCGAAGCCACATCGGGGCGCGCTCTTTTGATAGGCGGCGAGGGTCGAGCGGAGGGAATCGCTCTTGATCGTTTTGTTGAGCTTCTTATTGGGGATCGATGAGTAAGTGTACTATCGGGAACAGCGGATTCATGCCCGTATCTCTAAGATCATTGGAAAGTGCCAAATGGTGAATTGAAAGGTTGTGAATCAGTTAATGGAGCCTGCTTAAGCGAAAAACCAATCACATGATGGCTAAACAAAAGCTTCTAACCTCGGACAAATTTGGTTTGATATCTGGCGCATCGTTCCGTCTGGAATGGTGCGCATTTGATACAGGGGCAGAGATGAGTTCAGGTGCCGGACAGCCATCTGTATCCAAGCACATAATTTCATCGGTGTCTCCGATGGTGTGCCATCTGCCGCGTAGACCCGATTGTAGCGTTGATGGGTCCAGTGGGTCTGTGCAAGGTAAAAGAACATGAGAGTTTGCTTGGGCCTGGTTAGCTTTATGTTCATGAGTCATCATGAACGTATGTCGAGGGGACGGTGAGCCATCGAGATTGGGTTGCGACTTGGACGGTAGAGTACTTGAATGAGAGTCTTTGTCAAGCGGCTGGGCTGTGATGATTGAATTGGTGTTAGAGTTGAGTAAACATGGAGTCGGCCCAAGCGTCGGAGAGGCTGTGAAGTGCATGAAAGTATGAGGTGCATCACCAAGACTGGCACTAGCTCGAGGATAAGATCTAAAATCCCTATTGGCAGTAGAGTGGATCAAATGATCATGATAGTTCTGCCCCAAGAAGAGTCCTGATGCGGACAAGCTCGATGAACCTGCTTGTGGGCCGCACGTTGAAGCCGAGAAAGGTGGAAGCAGTACGTTGCACACTCCAGCTTTATGAACAGACGGTTGTTCGAGCTTCGAGCCACATTGACTCGTTCGACCTCTTTCCGGTTCCGTCTAAAAAAGGAGATTCAGAACATAAGAAAATTGGAGATGACTTAAGAAGTAAGGATCATTTATGAACGTACTGAATGATCCGCATGATGATGCAGCGCGAGCTGAGGGAGATAGGAATCAGGGTTATGAAGTTGGGTTTGTGAAACAGAGGAATGTCTAGCTTGAGAATGCGAGTTCAGCGGGGGATGTGAGGTCGATTGTTGTTGGTCTTCAAGTCCTGAAGAGACAACCGTTGCTTGATTGGCCTGAGATTCATTTTCGAGCGATCTCATGATCGAATTACATCCTTGCAAGATACTATCAAGTCTAGGGGTATTCTTTTCATAGAGCAAGCCTTTGGCAACCAATTGAACTAGACGGGAAGCGGAATGAGCACAATGGGGTCGACGAGTAGATCTGCCCAACTCCCTTTGAAGATGAGCAAGTGCGCCAGGACAATCTAGCAGACAAGATAGAACATGAGTAAGATTCTAGATAATCACTTTCAGAGTGTATAGATACATACCTTGCTCTGAGATATAATCCAAGATTAGTTCTTGAACCTTTGAAGGTTCGATAGTCAAGTCAGGTAGTTCAGTAAGAGAGACAGCTGGAATGAGGATACGATCGGCCAATGTGACCAAAGAAGGGGTTTCATTTGGCATCCTGGAATTTGAGAGACGATATGAATAAGTTGATATTGTGTTCAAATGCTGATTCTGTTCATGTTGATGTTGAAGTTGAAGTTGAAGTAAAGTGGTAATGAGTCGAGATGAGGTGTGGAATCAAATTGCTGTTGATCAAACATCAAATAGGTCTATGACTCGGCCCCGACCCTGAATCACCAGCGCCCCCAAGCATTTCCCTGAAACAGGGCCATCGTGTAAAATGTGACATTTCAATTTTCGATTCAGAACATACCAGTGCAAATTTGGCCTGGTACCATCTTTTGTGTGCTCTCTCTCTTTGCCCACACCTTGTATTCATTTTGTCCCGTCTTCAACCATGAAACAACAAAAAATCTTTCCTATTTCTATAATTGGACCCTTATTTGGACACCAGATTTATGGAGTGGTATGCAAAGCTACTTGAGAATAGTGCTTTGGTATTTTTTGACATAGGCACTGGCATTTGATGTCCGTAAGCAGAAGATCCAGCTCATTGAGATTCACAACTCAATGAAATGTTAAAAAACGAAATCCAGATAAAGTTGAAGCCCTGAGGGGACCTTTGATTACGGGTAAAGACATGTTTGAAGATGAGCCAAAGGAGGTTAGTGTGTGATTTTCTCAATCTGAGTCACAGGCAGTTGGTACTTCTAATTTAAGCCATTTTATAGTCCTGAGAATAAGCTGCAGGCTACCCTAGTTTTCAGAAGCAGAGATTGTAGAAAGATTTTATCCCTGAAAGGTTCAGAATTGGCAAAATTCAATAGCTTGTGCTTTTCAAAATAAGGCTTAGAAGAGCATGTAGGGCTTGTCTATGTTGCGGGTGCCCAAAGGCACGACGGCACCCGCTTAGTTCCATGAGAAAGGGAACAGGCGCACAGAGCTCGGACAGGCTCGGTACCCGAGGCAACTGAAAGGTACCGAGAGGAAAGAATTTGAGAAGAGATTTTCCCCAACGGAAACATAATCTCCGAGAAAGACAATTTTCTCTTCTAATCGAAAATTCTCTAATCATTCAATCAACTCAACATACAACATCAACTACAAGTAAGAGTCGAGAATTTCTTTTAGAAAATTTTTCTTTTAAAAAGTCTGCTGAACAATACTAGTGGATACGATACATATCATTTACTCAAATTGGAAATATCATAAATTTCCTAACATTAAACGGGTCAAATTCGTCAACTGTTATAAATCCTTAGTTATCACATTTAATCCTTCCAAAAATTTCTTCGTCCTACTTAAATTCCTTCGTCCTATTTAAAGATAGATATGTCTGCCAAAAACTTAACATCAGGCCTCGATCCCAACATGCCCCCTCGGGAATCAACACCTAGTAACTCAGCAGATCAACTGAAATCAAGAACTAGAAAGGGGAAGAAAATCGAAGCCATGAATCAAATCAACGAAGAAAATAGCACTAATCAGACGGTGGAAGGAGGACCTAGTAAATCAGATTCAGCAAACAACTTACCAAGCTCAGTAAATCAACAGACCGATGATGAAATCAACAACAGAGGTAGTGGTGACAATCCCCAAGACGATAGCAGAAATGGTGAAGGAGAACGTGGTGATCCTGGCAATCAAAATAATACCATAACAGGACTAGGTTAGTACCTGATTGAGACGATCCTAAACCTATTACCTACAAAACCCTCTATTATATCCACGTTGCGTATAATTTCCGTCGTTCCTTCATCTTCCCATAAACAGTCTAAAGGACACATGTTTAGTAAGAAGCAGTGATTGATACCCATGGACCAATCATTGAAGTCACCCCCACCTCCTCATTTAACATACCCAGTGTGGCCTGAAAGTCTATGACTTACTCTATATGAGGTGGAAAAATCTATCGTAATACCCAGTGTGGCCTGTGACGAAACATACCCAGTGTGGCCTGTGATGAAACATATATACGTCGAGCGTGGCCTATAGGATATGAATGTCCAAAGTGTTAAACCTGACCTAGAAAGAGGAATCCCAACAAGAGAGTCGGATTTAATGACTTCTCCAACAAGGACAAAAAAAAAAAAAAAAAGATGAAAAACATCTGAAAGAAATATGAAGAGATTTAACGCAACAAGTAGTAGAATCGCCTGGTCCTGAAATCCCCTAGTCCTATTGTCCTGATTGTGTATGGAAATGATAACGTGATGCTTACCAAAGTTGGTCCTTCACTGGGTGTCTGAATTATTCGCAGGTCCAGATGTGGAAAATATGGTTGAACCTGTTCACATTGAACACGGTCATGCAAAATGGTTGTCCAACATCAGAGAAGCCTTTAGGCGAGAAGCGATAGGTCAATATAAAGTATTCCGCGAAGAGTATCAATTCTGGTGTGAAAACGAGGGCACCGAACCTACACCACGGGGCAGCTGGCACGTGAGATTCACGTGAAATAGTTCTCTGCCAATAAATCACGCGCTGTCCACAGTGCGATACCCATTGTGAGCTACACATGACAGCCAGGGTGAGCAGCTAAAGCGTGGTGGCTCACCTGTCCATTGGGTGAGTCATCTCACATCATAACAGTGTGAAATGACTAATCCAATGAGTGGTGTGGAAATCAATTTAGATCTCACTCTAAGAAACAATTTTTTATTTATTCTTTAATGTGTTCCTTTAAAATTCAGAGTCGATTTCATTGGAAGATCTATTAAAATCAATTTAATTGCAATTTACAATTCTCAGTTCAAGATTCTCTATTAATCATATTCATTATAACTTATTTATTTCACAATTTGCATAAACATTAGTCTTTATTACATTCAATTCAAGATGATAGATAACAACATGATGAGATTCAAAATCAAAAAACAAATAATCAAGAAAATCAACAAGTTAGTATGAAATCGATCGATCTAAAAAAATAAAGAATACAAACCTAGATTTCAAATGAGGAAAGAAGAACAAATGATTAATTAGTTTATAGATAGATCGAACTAAAAGAAAGAAGATATAATAAAAAAAGAAGAACTTACAAATTTGAACTTAGACTTGAATCGATCAAAAGAAAGTAAGAGAAGAAGCTAAAGAATCAAAGAAGACACATAAAAAGATAAAAGAAGATTAAATGATCACTTAGTCTATGAAAGACTTGAATTGAAAGAAAATTGAAGAACCTACAGATTGAACTTTGAAATCAGATCGATTTATCAATTTAGGAAAGCTAGAATTCAAATTAGAAGATAGAAGAAGAACAAGTGATTAGTTAGTATATGAATGATCAAACTAAAAGAAGAAAAACAAACAAAGAACTTACAAATTGGATTTCAAAATCGATTGATCTGAAAGCTAAAAGAACATTAGAATCAATATTTGAAGATGAAAGAAGAATAAAAAAGAACCAATAAGTGTATGAAATGATGGATTAGGATTGAATAATCAAAAGAGTTAGAAAATAGAAAGGACTTACGTTAGATGCAAAGATAGAACAGGATCGATCCAAGATTGAGTGACGCAATCGATCAGATTTGAAGGATTGGAATAAGAGGAAATACAAGGTTGAGATTGAGGTGGAAGGTATAAGAAGAGTGAGTTGAAGAGTTGAAGAAGGGGTCCAGGAGGGTGTGTGTCGATCTTTGAGTCTTTTTGTTAGTGTTATTTTAAAGTGTTATTGAGTTTTTTCTCTCTTAAACCCTTATAAGGGTAATAGTGTTATCTTTTTTATTTAATTCAAGAGTCAAGAGTCTGTCGCGTGAAATTTGTGTGTGTGTGAAAGTTCTACCTGTGAAATTTGTTACAGTAGTGCATTAATTTTGGCATTTCAACAGTTTTAGAGATATTCAAATACTTTTTTTAGTAGAAAATTTAGTAGAATTTTTATAGTTTAAAGTTCAGGAGTCGGATGATGAAAGACGATGAACAAAGAGGACTGTGAATTGTTACGGCTGAGGTGACCAGGCACCGTAGGTGACAAGGCAATCAGCCTAGTCTCACCCGTTTTTGGTTTAGCCCAGGTGGAAGATCCAGGAATGTTGGATCGGGCTGGTTTCATCTTTTTGTGTTTCGCGTCATTGTTTGTTCCGCCTAGCTGAAACTTGTTTCATATAAATAGTTCTTCTTTCTTCCTAAACTTGTGTTGGTCTCTCTATTGTCACAAACTTCTTTGTTTCGGTAGAATCATCACTAACACTAGTTGAACTAGGTAGATTCTTATTTCTTCTATTTTTGTCTTTTATGAAATTGTCACAAACTTCTTTGTTTCGGTAGAATCATCACTAACACTAGTTGAACTAGTTTACGTTTCATCTGCTCTCGTCCCAATAGGTTATGAGCTTTAGGGTTCCAGACGACTCAGATATCTCCTTTGAATCAGCGCAATCCGAACCTACCATCTCAAACAATCAATCTTCTTCTTCTGACAATCAACTAATCATCGCAAATACTTACGCCACTACCATCGAACCACTTGAACCTGAAACAATGAATCCCGAGATGGAAACTCAAGTTGCTGGAAATCAACAACAGGCTGCTTCTGGAGTCAACAATTCCCAGAATCTGCAGCAGATTTTAAATCAACAATCGATTACCAATGCACCACAAACTCTCCATCAAACGATTACGAATGTTTTTACTATTACCGGTAGTGAAAACACCGATTCATGGATCGTCAGGACTAAAAACTGCCAAGTCAAGCTCGCTAGTCTTGCTGCATTGACTGCAGATGGTTCGAACTTTGACGTATGGGATGCCGACATCCAGGAATACCTCGAAACTATGACCGGATGTGTCGATTATCTTCATCCGGCAGCTATTCCTTCCGTCGATGGTTGGCGCGAAGACATCGCTAGGGGAATCAACGGACTTTTTCACTGGACTGTTGACAAGCACATCGCCATGCGTCTAAAGGACCATTCACCTGTGCCTTCTGCTCGTTACGCTTGGCTCAAAAGTCAATTCTCCGGCCAAACCTTTGCCGGAAGAATGTCCTTGTTAAATGAATTTACATCCATCAAGTACGATCCATCTTCTACTACCTTGGATGCGTTCGTTAA